AAATGAATAACATGGTTTCCACTGTGGAAGTCAGTGTGGAGATTCCTCAGAAAACTAAGATGGGAGGTCCCATTCTACCCAGCTATTCCACTTCTGGGTATCTTCCCAGAAGAATTAAAAACATCGTACACAGCGATATATGTGCACCCGTGTCGGTAGGGGCCGGATGTTGTTATGTTAAGTGAAATAAACCGTGCTCAGAAAGACAAGCACTGCATGCTCTCACTCAAATGCAAAATCTAAAGAAGTTGATCTCATAGAAGCTGAGAGTAGAATGGTGGGCTTTCAGAGGTTAGGGAGAACAGCGGGAGGGCGGAATCAGAAGAGGTTGAGTTACAGGTATGACATTTACTTAGACAGGAGAAATACGTGAGGGCTTCCAGGGAGATGGCAGAGTGGTAAGCAGCAAAAAAATCAACCTCTCCAAAATTCAGAATCCAGACACTGGAAGATAAGAAGGAGAGAGGTGAATCCCTGGGACCCAGGAAGGATCTGGGGAAAAATTGGAGCCCACAGAGAAAGCGAAGAGACAGACCTCAATGCAGAGAAAGGAGGAGGAAATCTGCACTTTCTTCTTGGAAAGCAATAAATGTCATATGTGATATTAGCAAAACGAAGGACTAAAACCACACAATTATCTCAATAGAGGCAGAAAAAGCATTTGACAAAGTCCAACACCCATACAAGATAAAAACCCTACAGAAAACTGGAATAGAATGTCTCTACCTCAATCCGATAAAAGGCATCTATGACAAACCAACAGTAAACATCACACTGAGTGGCCAAAAACTGAAAGCTTTCATTCTAAAATCAGGAACAAGACAAGGATGCCTGCTATCCCCACTCCTATCAATACGGCACTGGGAACATTAGCTGGAGCAATTAGAGAAGAGAAAAATAAAAGAAATAAGCATAGGAAAGGAAGAAGTTAAATTATCATTATTTGCTGATGACAAGATACTCAACACAGAAGACCCAAGGAACTCCACCAAAAGACTCCTAGAATTCACAATCAAATTTAGCAGCACAAGAAGACACAAAGCCAACACTCAAAAATCAGTAGCATCGCTGTACACGAATAACAAACTCACTGTGAGAGTGAGAGACGTTAGGGAGATAACACCTTTCACAATGTTTTCAATAAAAGTGAAATACTTATAAATCAGTCTAACAAATGAAGTAAAAGACCTGTACACTGAAAACTACAGTACTCTGGAACGGGAGATAGAAGAGGATATCAGAACACTCAGCTACCTTATCTTTCATAAAGAGGCCAAACATGTTCATTGGAAGAAAGATAGCCTCTTTAATAAACGGCGCTGGAAAAAGTGGCTTTCCACATGCCGAAGACTGAGTCTAGTCCCACGTCTTTCACCAAACACCAAACTAAAGTCAAAATGGATCAAAGATCTAAATATTAAAACAGAAACATTAAATCTACTGGAAGAGAAAGTAGGTAGAAATCTTGAAGACATAGGGGTAGGCAGAGAGTTCATGAACAAAACCCAGACTGCATGGGAAACACTTCAAAGAGTAAACAATTGGGATCTCATGTTATTAAAGAGCTTTTGCACATCAGAAGAAATCACCAACCGAGTGAAGAGACAACCCACAATGTGGGGAAAAGTGTTTGCCAGTTGTTCCTCTGACAAAGGATTAACATCGAGAACATGTAAAGAGCTCAAAAAAATCAGATCTCCCAAATTGAAAGGCCCAATCCAAAAAAGGTCATCTCAGATGAATACACACTTCTCAGATGAAGAAATACAAATGGCAAATACATGAAAAAATATTCAACATCACTTGTCATTTGAGAGATGCAAATTAAAACAATACCAAGAGTCCATCTCATCCCAGAAAGAACGGGTATCATCAAGAAATCAATCAATAACAAATGCTGGAGAGGCTGTGGGGAAAAAGGAACACTCCTCCACTGTTGGTGGGAGTGTAGACTGGTGCAACCACCATGAAAATCAGTGTGGAGATTCCTAAAAAACTAGGATTAGAGGTCTCATTCAACCCAGCTATTGCACTTCTGGGTATCTTCCCAGAAGAATTAAAAAACATCATACCACAGCGATATATGTGCACCTATGTTTATAGCACCACAGGTTGTAACAGCTAAATCTTAGAAACACCTCAAATGCCCATCAACTGAAGAATGGATAAAAAGGATGTGGTATTTTTATATAATGGAGTACAACTCAGCCATAAAGAAGGAAAAACTGGAGACTTTTATAGGTAAATGGATGCAATTTGAGACCATCGTCATAAGTGAAGCAAACCAGATAGATGCACATGTGTAAACATCATGCCTCCCTGGTGTGTGAAACTGAAAGAGTAAATAAGGTCTAAAACGTACAATAGATATTGTGAAATGGGAAGAAATTGTTCAAAAGGAAAAAGGACCTAGGATGGGTGACAGGGGAAAGAACAGTAGGGGAAAGGGAAAAAAATGCAAGTCAGTTATACTATTAGTGTCTCTTAGTTCATTAAAAAGGAAAATTTGTGCTAATATTGATTGGAGAAATTTTTATGCCCATGTCTTGTACCCTGAGCAACTACTTTAAAGATAACAACATGTAATGTATTAACTATTGTGATTCTTCTATTATTTTGTTGTGAAATTTTGTTTTACCTTTTCTCCATAAAATTAAAAAAAGAAAGAAGAGGACATCAGAAAATGGAAAGATATCCCCTGTTCTTAGATAGGCAGAACCAGTATAGTGAAAATGGCCATAATTCCAAAATTGTTATATACATTTAATGCAATCTCAATCAAAATATCAATA